CCCCAAGCAGGAGAAACGCTATGATGTTTCAAGTGCATTGCCAAGCTGTGAGGGCTGCCCGGTGGAGCAGACATCCCTCCCCCCACTCTGGGCGAGGCAGGTGCTTCCTGAGGGATTGCAGCCTCAGGACTGTTTCCTGTTCTGCACCAAAAGGTGACAGCCACAGGGCACTCTGGAAGTTCCTTGGTGACTCTCAGACCTCCAGGTGTGGTTTCACACAGATTCAGACCCAGCGCTGGATGGACTCAGGTCGGCCGGTGTCCATTACCACAGCCATCCACCACTTCCTCTTTGGTAAGGAGCCCGTTCTCCATCCCTTGTCAGACGGCATGGCTGTGGCCCCGGCACCTGCAAGACCCAGTTCCAAGGCTGCCGCCACCGTGTGTGGTACTTCCCTGGCTCCCAGGTCTTCCCACCACTATTCAGACGAGGAAGCAAGATCTGGCCGGGAGCACGCTATTGCATCTCACCAGACCCCCGTCCTCATCTGAGCAGTGGGGAGGGGCCGCGGGACTAGGGGAAGTATTGCCCTTTGTGCCTACTGGGCGCTCGTCCTACCTGCCCCCTCTCCTGTAGGAGCACTCAGAACTTTGTGGCATCACCAGAGAAGCCAGTGGTAATGGACACCCGCTGGTGTGCCACTTGGGGTCTGGGTCTCCCACTTTGAAAAGTGCCTGTTGTCCCCGGCTGCTGAGCCAGACCTGTGAGGGATGGCAGAGGGTTTGCATACTGACGCTCCTTTTTCCACACACGTCTGTCAGAGTCTGGGCACCAGATTGTATCGAGAGACTGGCTCTTGCCTCTGTTAGATGCACAGCCCGTGTGTGTAAACAAGCAAATGGAACTAAACGAGAGAATGCAACCTCACGTCCCAGTGGTCTGTGTCTTCCTTTCCAGAACCCTCGGGGAGATCCGCTGGGTGCCAGCTCGCCTGGCGGCAGGAGGCCAGCTCCTGGCTTGCCGGGCACTCAGACAGTGGTGTTTTCTCACCAGTGGGGCCTGAGTCAGTCCCGCAAACCACGTATTTGCACCTCCATTGAAGCAGGCCAGCCCAGCTTCTGTGACCTCTGCACAGCTCACGCCTCCTCTCCCTGCCTGCCATATCCTCGCCCTACAGCCCCGAGGGCTAGAGCAGTCCAAGGAGCAGAGATGGGGCTCACAGAAGGAGCGGCGAGGAAGAGCTACAAAGTTCACTGGAAGGAGGCTGTGGGACACCCTGTACAAAGGTGAAGGCCGTGGACCTGCCCACTCACTTGGCAGCCCCACGCAGTGTCTGTTGAAAGCCCTATGTCCCCAGGGTACAGCGTCCTCGCACGCCTAACTGCCCCGCTGACAGTCTTTCAACAGGGTCAACCGTTCTGAGGGATCAGGCCTGCGAGCCAGGTGCTGGGGTCCACTGATACACGCCCTCTCTGTGAGGGCTGTGCCCA